CTATTTCTTCAAGTTTCCAAGTTGAAGTCCATAATTCCTTGATGGTAAGGGAATTTAAATATCTGAGCAGAATCTTTGTATCTTACACATATGCGGCATGGGAGAATTTCCTTTAGCTCTGTAAGTCTTCATTGCCAAAGAAGAGTGGAAGCTGCATTTACCTTTAATTACCTCCATTTACCTGTAATACCTTCGTCCAACAGTAGTTTTATGTTCCCGTGATAAACTTACGGAACATAGACCATACCTGTAGATCTTGTACCACATTTACTGAAATGATACTCTTCTATATTTGATAAGTAACAATACTAATTTATATAGGTTAGAGCAAGATAGTTGTTAATTTGGTGTACTTGTGCATAAAATAGAGAATGGGAGCTATTTTTCTGTTGTTCACAGTAAGTACCATTATTGTTGTGTGTCTGAATGATGCTACATATTATTGTGTAGAAGTTTGCATTTTCAAAAATTCTCTGTAAAATTGTCCATGTGCTTTGTATAAGCTCACCTTACACAACTGACCATGTGTATGAATGTAGGCAGAGCACTAATGAATATAGTAGCCTGGCTGTGTGCTCAAATAACTTTAGCCAATGTGTTTCTGTCAGGTTAACAGTTAACATGGAAATTTTGGAAGATTTTGGCCCAACACAAGTTCCACAAGTTCTCCTGTAATATAAAGAACACCACAAGTTCCTGTAATATGTATTTATTCCATGGAACAGAGGAACAATAAGGAAACTAGATATATCTGGTTGGTGTTTGCCACCAACATCAATGGAAAGAGGGTGAAGCTTAGAATTTCTCGCTATTAAAACTGACCTGGCGAGATGAGATTCATTGCTTCCGTTGAACTGAAGAGCCAGGGTGTCTCTAGGAAGAGCTTCCAGAAATGCTGAGGACCTAGGAGAGAAGGTGAGGAGAGGAGTGGGAAGGATGAGGACTAGGCTGTGTGAGCCTCTCAGCCCTCAACAGGGTTTAGACCCTAAAGTATGCAGGCTTGAACACCATGCTTTATCTGTCTTCTCTGGAGGAACTGATTCCATCCAGTGTCATCCTCCTCCTTGCTGCTTCATTTCAGAGAATAAATAAATTCCAAAGAGTTACAAGTCAGTTATCAGAGAAGGTTTAGTGAAACCAATGGGCAGACAGACACTCATGTCATCAGGCAGCCTTCTAAGGCTTTTAAAGACTGTTATCATCGTTTACCAAAAATATTTTCCTTTCACCTTAGCAAAACTACCATATAAAGACCAGAAGTATTAGTTCATGGATAACTAAATAGTGATGATATACTACAATGATAATGAAATAATATGATGAAGATATATGAACAGAGAGGAAATGCCATGGAAAAATTATGCATACCTTGCATGCATAGTTCTTACACTGTCGATGGGGAGTGTGCTTGTGTGATGATTAGCTGAATTAACTTTTGGTTTCCTTGCTTTTGTGTCTGTATGTTTTTAACAACAGCCACTTCACAATTATTTCTTTCCATATGGCAAAAGGTGTAGCAAAACAAAAAATAAATCTACTGACCGTCTTTTTCTTTAGTCTGTTATTTTCATGTTTCTTTTGAAATACTACTCTTTATATGTAATTATCTTCAGCTCATTAAAAAGAAAGAAAAATACTAATTTTCTTACCAAGTAAAGAGTATTTTCAATTAATATTTGATGTCAGTTCAAAAGGTCCAAATTTCAAGTCAGTTTGATGTCATCAAATTTGATGTCAGTTCAAAAGGTCCAATTTCAAAAGGACAAAATTCTTTGTCCACAGTGAGAGCAGACTGTAATAAGGAGGTCTCTGCTTTTGGCAATAATGTAAATAGCATAACAGACTTCAGTTTCTTTGTGCTGTACTTTGGCAAGATGAAATGGAAGAAACTAATTGATAATCATGTTTTAATTAATTGTTGAATAAAAATTGATTGTTTGCACAAAAAGTAGGTTCAATTACTTTAGTAAAATTCATGAAGTGATAGGAAGATTTTCCTAACTTACTGATGTACATAGGAAAACAAATTCCTAACTTACTAATGCATGCCAATTTAAGAAGTTTGATTATTGACCACATCAAAGTATTAGAAAAAACATGGTTTTTGGAACATTCAATATTAACAGTATTCTAAAGAGCTGCTAATCTGTCAACAAATATCCTTTTCTGGTGGTTGAATGGTATTTGTTTTGTGCCAGCTTCTCTTTAGTGTTGCTTTCGCAGGTGTTTTAATACACAGATAAATCAATATATTTGGTAATTCTTCATGAATGGTATATGTTTATGATATCAATGAAGGGCTCTTTAGGATTTTTCTCAATCTGCACTCTACTTTTCTTTGAAGTCGGGTGCTTTTTATAGAGCTAATATGGAGACTGGACATTTGCCCTCTGTATTCTGATGGCAAGAGAAGAGCTTTAGATGAATCCGGAACTTTTAGAGTGTAAGAACTTGCATTCACAGACTGTCCAATTTGAATTTGATTCTCAGTTATTAATGCATAAATAGGCCCTGTGTATACTGGACCTGCATCCCATTTGTAGAAGATAATGTTGCAGTACTGTAGAATGCGAGACCACCTAGGAGGGAATTTCTGCACCAGTCCAAGGGAAAAGAGGTGCTTGTAGCCAAGTCCTGCTCTCGTTTGCTGCGTTCTTTAGTTTGTTAACCAAGGTGTGATTTTGAGCATGTCTTTGTGTACCGCTTGGAAGCTGACAGTGATTAGTTTGTCCATCCTGTCTTGTGTCTCTGAGTCATCGGTGACACTGTCTTTTGTCCTTTGTCTCTCAACCTCCCAACCTGTGTGTCCTGAGGAGTTTCACATAGGTGCATTTATATACTCACTAATAAAGTTTCAGAGGACTTTTTTTTTTAAAATCAGTATAGTTTCAGTCGAAAAATATTTCCTAAGACCAGACTCAGGAAGTATAATAATGTTTTAAATAATGCATGAATTAAAGTAGAAAAATAGGGGAGAAAGAATGCAGATTTTTGGGTAGGGTTTTGGATTTTTTTTTTTTTTTAGTTTTTCTTTGAGTTTTTTTAATGTTTTTTAAAAATATTGTTCGTGATGCCCAGTGCATCATGAATAATATATGAACTCATAGATCCCTTGCATTTTGAAAGAACAACCAACAGACAAGTCCTAACAACTGTAAGGCAAAGCAAGCAAGCTAGCAAAACCAAGTAAATTTTATTCTGGTTGTTTGTGTATTTTTTTAATATTTAAAATGCTACTTTCTATACCACCTTTTTTTCTTCATTCTCCTATTAATTGGTATAAATAAAGTGGTGAAAATATAATCCAGTAGATCAGAAAATAATGAATAAAAATTATGCAAAAGTGTGAAAGGTTATAGAGTATCAATAGATAAGGACTTCTTTCCTTCCAATAGATAAAGACAGTTTTTCTTTGCATATAAATCACATCTGTCTGTTACAGAGAAGCTATCAGTTCGAGGACTCAGTTTTTACTATTTCATGAAGTTAAAATAATTTCCTTGAATTGAAAAGGTTAGAGTGACTTTTCTTAGCTGGAAGTTGCCTTCTGTAGAAAAGAACATCTGTAAGTGTCTGAGCAGATTTTTTAAAAAAAGTTACCTATTTTTTTTCTTCTTTGCACCCAAGAAAATAATTCAGTTGTGTTCTTCCAAGAAATTAAATTGCAGGGAGAGGTGAGATACCTAGCATTATGTAGAATTACACTCACTGCAGAACACAGTGTATCACCCAAATAATTCTGTATGCACCCAGTATTACTTGCAGAAAAACAAGTGCTTAAGTTTATGAACTAATGAATCATTCAAACACACACAATGAAAAAGGGACCAGTCTACATCAGTATTCCGTAGTGTGTGTGTATATATGCATATATTCCATTTTCTAGGTAGTAAAATACAGATTCTGTAGTATATAATTCTTAAAAAACATATGTTAAGCATACCATGTCATTTTATTCATGTAGATAATGAAAAATGTCAATATGAAGAATTCCTTTTCCCTATTAGCTTCAGCTTATTTTCTTTAAACTGCAGCACTTGATTCTAAGGTACGAAGTGAAGTAAAAATGTGGCTTGCCAATGACTGTTTAACACTGTATTAGAAACTAAAGAAAACAAATTGTAATTCAGGGCTCATAATTTTGTGTCCTGGAAATTTTAATACTAATGATTGGAAACTGTGATGCAGAAGAATAAATTGCTTCTACAAAGGATACAGTTAGTTTCAAATGTAGTTGGTTAGAAAAATACCTGTGGGTATTCAATATGCCTCTGTTATTCAATTTCCACTATTTGGTTTTGTTGTTGGTTTTGGTAGATTAGCAGCCATGTTTTTCAACTTTGAAACAAAATATCTCCTTTAGTGGTTTTTGAAGAGTCCATAAGAGGTGGTGAAACTGTTTACACCAGACATAAAATGAAGCTGACTGTAAAATACAGAAAGATAACAAAAGGGAAAAAAAAAGGAAGAAACATAATTTAATTAACTTATTTTAAAGGCATATTTAATTTATTAAAAAAATATAATCAGTTAAAGTGGGAGCTAAAATATCAAGTCCAGCAAAAAGAATAAATTTACTGCCCCTTTAAAGGGGTTTTCACTAATCTTATGTTTGTTTGATTCTAGACTAACTGACCTAAAGTCAATGAAAACTTGTGAAAAAGTAGTGCAAAATCAGATTATAAACTCAGTGTAATTACCAGAGTAATAGGAGGAGAACAGATCTAATTGAAATGACAGAAGAGTCATTAGTCTTTAAGACTGCCCTACATAAAGTTCATGACTACTATAAAAATGAATGTGTAAAATTATTTTTATAAATAAATTATATTGATATCAAGATGACTTTTGCTATTTTATATTATTTTTAAGGTAATGAATCTCTTAAAGTTTAATCACACTTGTTGCAGAGATCTTTGGATTATTTGTACATCAAATTTCTGACACGTCTGTACTTGCCAAGCCAAAAAATTAACTTCACAATTTTGCTTTATTTGCAGCATCTGGCGAGGACCAAACATAAACTGCACAGACAGTTCAGGTTATACTGCTTTACATCATGCAGCTTTAAACGGACACAAGTAAGTGCCTCACATTTGTTTTTTATGTAGAATGGTATTTAGCTGTGTAACATAGAATATATAACATCGCACTGAGGTTTTCACTGAAAGTTGACAAACTTTGACTTACTGAAATAGTCATTTTTCCCATGGGATATATTAATATTAGAGTGCTTTGACACTGTCATCAATATCAGCACGTGGTAATGACAAATGGGAAATGCAGTTTATAAGCTGTTGATTATGTAGTCTTTCTTCCAAATTCTTCCTCGATTTTGAGTACATTTATTATTGTTACTAGTTGTGGCTCTTGTGCTTTTTGGTTGCTGGGAAACTGCAGCAGAAAATTTTGTAGTATACTTTTGTGTGTATGTATACACGTATAATGTGTTGAACGTTTAAGGAAGCAATTTCGTTAAACAAAACAGTAAAGATTAATCATCATCAAAGCAAATTAGCATGAAAAGAATATTTAGTAATTATACACTTGGAAGCAGAGAAAAAAAAGGCTATTACCTCATATGGGACCTTACAGCTTTTCTCGAGGTGCTGCTGTCCATCCAAGCTGCCACATGCATGTCTCAACAATTTTAGGGGAAAGCATGGAAAATCCCCACTGAGGGGCACTGCACAGGCCCACCAGTGCAGGTGAACTACTTAGGGCATTGAAAAAAATCTGGAAACTTGCTAGGCATTTTGTTTTAGACACTGTTATTTTGTTCTATGTTATCTCTGCTGTTACATTTCCCCCCTGCTACATATTACCTCCATTGTATTTTTCTGCCAACTGCATGTTGTTATTAAGGCAGAACAAGAAAGAAAGGTTTTAATGAAGTCTAGAAATTTCTAATGGGGTGGACCCCCTTGTAACCACGGTAAGAGCTGCCCCACTTAATGCAGTCCAACTATCCTGTTTGCAGAGTGATGGTATTAACACTGACTGGATTTTCACTAAAGAAAATTCTAACATAAAGCTTTGGTTAATTCCTCTGTGGGAGATAAGGAAGTGCCCAAAAACCAACTGAAATTAAGAGTGATTTGAACTAACTTTAATGTGATTTTGGACTGTCCATAAGATATACATAATAATTATGTGTTTAATTTACTCATTGCACCATTTTTGCATTCTTTCATGGAAAAATTAAGACATTAGGATGTGTCTTTAATTATATTCTAGAAACCTGCATATTTTCTTTAGGAAAGATTAATCTTTTGGTGAATATAGGATATTCTGCTTCTAAATAAATATGTGAAGTTAAAATACTGTTAAATTAGATACCGTGCCTTTTCCAAAGTTTGAGCTCTGTAGGAAGATCAGAATCATCCATTAATATATTTCTACTTCCATGGAATTAGGTCTAACTCCTTAATATGATCTGTTAAACTCAGCCTTTTTGTTCATAATTTATGGATTGTTTCTTGTGCTGTTGCTCATTTTTGGCTGACAAAAGCTGAAGTGCTAGCTCGCAAAGATTGCTGGTTTTAAATAGACAAAAACTGAGTTTAGTATGTTTAATATTGGCAACAAACCAATAGTTACGCAGCAAACTAAAAATATTACTTTATAAACACTGAAACTCTCAGAGACTTCAAGTGAATTCTACCAATATAAACTATAAAATCTCAAACCATACAATATACAAAAAACCTATAAAATACCAAAACATTTCAGACACAGTGTGTGCCAAACTTCTCCTGAGGTTTGGGAGGACTTAAAAATATGGACTTATGTTTAGCCGCATATATAACTGCAGCTTTTGAAAAGTCCAGTGCTGGCTGCTATGACCCCTTGCACTCCCAGCAGGGTAAGTAGCAGTTACTGATATCCCATTTATACCTTGTTATATTAAAGTACACTGAAATACGTCATGAGGTATTTCGTGATGAATCATGAAGTTTCAGGACCTGTTATCCAAGCCATCATACTGCTCCTGCTGCAAGAGAATTGGACAGACACCTGGTGGTTCTAATTTTGTTAGTCACTACAAATGACAAATAAATAACTTCACTCTCTATTTCAGATTTCAGGCTTGATATTCAAAATCAAAACTATGTACAATCTTTTGATACAAGAATCTTCCCCCTTAGGGGACGTTCTTGTCCTTTTAAAATCTTTGGGGTTTTAATTTTTCCCACTTTACATTAGGTTGAACCTGAGATATTTGAGTTTTTTTAGGAGAAGTGAGAACATGAGACCTAATGACCAAACCAGTAATTTTTGGCTGGGATACTTATTGGACACCAGTATTCAAATCCCTGCTTGATCACTGTATGTGATGAATTCCCTCTTCCTTCATTATTCTGACATAGTTCTCTTTCCTTCAGAAACTATTCTGCTTTATATAAGTAATTAAATCATATCTGGGGCAATCACTGGAATCTCAGTCTCCCTAAATAATTTTACTTAGCCCAATAATGTTACTGGGCTAAGGACTCTCAGTCTTCTCTCTGAAATTTATTTCTACAAAATGAAAAAGTTCTGACAAAGTGCTAAAAAAGAACCACCCTAGATAAATGTGGTGGGTCAGGGCATTCTTGAAGGATGAAGGAGATGTATGTTCTATTTTGTAGCTTGAATCTTGCAATAGACTCATCCCGATAGTTCCTGTGTATTGTTATCTATAGATTTCAGCTGTGGAGGGCTTTTTGATAATTTTCTCCCACTTAGCTAAATTTATGCTTCTTTTGGTTTGTGTCCCTTTCAAACAACTGTGTATCTAGCTTTCATTAGACCATCTATTACATCATCAACTATTATGATATGAGAAGTCTCTCAAACCTTATGTGTGCTAAAATGTTTCCCTCAGGATTCACTTTCCTGGAAGTTTCTGTGTAGCAAAAGTCCTTCTATAGTGGAGCTGCTCTTTCTTGGTTGTTTTCATGTTATTTGACCTTGTCAGGAATAACCAAAATCCAGCTTAAATTCTCCTCAAAGCTTAGATGTGATGACTCCATATCTTTTGAAGTTACCTGAGAGTTTCTTTTGACCTGGTTATAGTCCCTCATAACTCACCATGTTTTTTTCTCAATAGGAAATTAAATAAGGTTCCATCAAGGTTGGGGGAATAATTGCCTCAGATATGTCTTCTGTCCTAATTTGTAGTCACAGGTTTAATTTTTAGACATAACATAGGCTACACCGAGCTTCCTCCCCCCCACTGATTTTTGAGCCAAATCAGTAAGTCAGTGTTTCCATATTCAGTAAAAAATATGTGTAGAACTGCCCACACTGGATCACAGATTCTGTTAGCTTAAGAACTAATGAGGCCTGACTATGTCAAACTCTGAGACGTCAAGTGCAGCAATAAGACAGAATTTATTTACTTTCTGAAATACTCGATAACATTATCATACCACACAGTTAATTTTTATGTTTAGCTTGTGAACTTAAGTGCAGGAGACTGCTTAAAAATCAGGGATGGAACATACCAACTTATACCAGTCTTTCATTTAATGTGTGATAAGTCACACCAAAAGTACTGAAAGTAATATAAAAAGAATTAAAATGATAATAAGTCACTTCTTCCCTCACTATTATAAGGAAGCTGCATGTGGGAAATGAAAATAGAAGCAGTTATTTCATAGAAGATAGTATATATCTAGCTAGATCATCATTACATTGTTTTTTAACTATCTTTGAGATAATGTTTTAAAGAAGAGGAAAAATTGTTACTTAAGCCTTACTGTGAGAATCATGTCCATAAAACTACCCTCTTGTCTTCCTGCCTCCAGAACTCAGCAATGCTGGGGACAAGAGTACTTCTCTGCCTTTAATGTCTGAGGGACATGCACATTGCCTGGACTGGCAAATTCTAAAAGTGATTCTTTGGCAAGGTGATCCTACTGAAAGAAACAGATTCAGAGAACTGGTGATAATATTGGTGGTATTCATAAGAAGTAAGAATCAATAAAATTTTGGCTATGTTTTACTGTCTATTTAATTTTTTGAAATTATTGATCTTCACTTATTCTACGTTTCGCTTGACACACAGGTTTTTTTTTCTATTATCCAGGATAAAAATTTTGGTAATATGTATGTTCATGTAAAAACTTAATAAAATAAGCTTTCTGTCAATTTTTAGATTTACCTCCTGTTTTCCAGGGATATAGTTCTCAAATTACTTCAGTATGAAGCATCAACTAATGTGGCAGATAATAAGGGTTATTTTCCTATTCACTTGGCTGCTTGGAGAGGAGATGTAGATATTGTGAAGATTCTCATCCATCACGGACCATCACACTCCCGAGTGAATGAACAGGTGAAGTGTGATAAAAAATATTTGCGTACATCAACGGAAAAGAGCAGCAAATATTCTTTAGGTCTGACAAATTTATAGCCAAGTTAAAAAAACCCCTATTTTCCATTGTTTCAGTAATTTCTTCTCCAAGACTGATAAAATCTTCCATTATAAGCATATCAGATACCTTTATTATGGATGGGCACTGACCTAAAGAATATTAGATTTAAAAAGTATGGAAAAACCTTTTACTTGTTTTTGAAAAATTGTGTGAAGACATACTCTATGCATCTTTTAATTATGGATGTAAATTTGCATAAACTCTGCATCTTTTTTACTGTATTAAATATTAAAGTCCTGAAAACCTTTGAGATAAAATTAGCATCCTTGGTATATTTTAAGTGTACTGTAAATTAACAGATATGAAGAGATAAATGACAAACCAGATGGACTGCATCTATGCATGTGCAACAGAAAGGACACATATATACCAAGAAAAAATAATGAGAGTATTACAGTGAGTAAGGGCAGTATAAGTATGTTGCATTCTGTTGTCAGACATATGGCACACCTTCTCTTTTTATTCTGTATATTTTTATCTGGTCCATTCATAGGGCCAGCATTAAAAAGAAAAAGAAGGTGATTAAAATTTGACACCATCTATAGTAGGCTGAACTGTTTAAGGACTGGAAATAGGCTGTGAAGTACAAGTAGTAACCATAAAGCTATTGAATTTGCCAGGGTAATCAGGGAGTTATTGGAATGTAGAGGTGGGAGTCAGCTCTAGATTCAGATCTAAACTGTAATTGCCTACATTGCACCATTTGGTTCCACAGAGGTCTGGTCAGTGTAGTCACAGGAGCCAACAGGGTTATTCAGGTGACCAAAAGTAAGGCAGGATTCAATTGCCCAAACACAGGTCCTGGTAGAGTGGGTGCTGAACTCCAGGTGGGGTAACACCTGGTAACCTACAGCACCTCAAATGGTAAAGTGCAATCTGAGAAATGAGTTGTACTCTCAGTGCCTCTATTAGTGTGGCCAGTAGGCAAATGGTTAGAAAATAAGAAATGTGAGACGTACATTGCAAACACTTAACTAGTGTGAGATGCCTTGAATAATCTATTTGGTATCTGAGGTTATACAGTTAGCCATTTGAATACATACAATAACTATGATATGAATATCAAGTATTAGTGCAGGAAATATAGGAAAATAATGTAATAGAATATGCCCATGTGACAGTCTTCTGGGAAATCCTATAATACTCTGACTTATCCAAGAAAAAACATAAACCCCAAAATTTGTCATTCTGTGCTTTGAGTTACAGATTAGGAGTTTCTTCAACTTTCTCATTCTCATTAGCTATTTTATGTAGGATGAAACTAGTTGAATTGTAGGATTACCTTTTGTCAAGGAGAGAATTTTTTTCAGTTTTATTTATGCAACAAAACAAAAAGCAACCTTCTGATTTCGTGGTACCCATTTCTTGAAGAGATTGTATACTGACAGAAAACTGGAAGCTATGTAGGAACTTCAGAGAGGGGGATAGTGAAAAAGATATTTTAGTGAGATCAGAAAGAGAAATGTAAATTCAAACCTACTTCTCCCCAGTCTCACATATACATCCAGACTTCTAGAATATTCTTGAACTTGATTAGATGTGCTGTCTCTGGTTTGATCACTGGAGCAAATAAGCAGGGATACATCTGATTATATACCCCAATGACTCAAACAGATCATCCTGCCATCTATTAATTTTACCCAAAAACTTTATAATAGAAAATTCATGAGCGATCCTCATAAGAAATGTTACACCTTAAGTCTTTTAAGGGAATCTTGATCATATTAAACTTTGAAGTCAAGCATACAGAGTTTTTCTGACCTTGTAAATTCCTTGGTATTCCACTGTGGACAATGGCCAGCTTTAGTATGTGGACTACTTTGCTGGCACCTACTTTCCCCTGCTAATTAGCGCTCTGCGCAGGAGAATACTATCTGTATCAAGAAAAGAGGGAAATGCCATCTTGATATAGAGCCACCTCCACCCACATGTCCTCAAATAACACCTAAGTGGCATCCTCCCTCTAATACCTGTTGTACATTCTTATGAGCCTGTAGGCTTCTGAGGCTTTTGCTTATTTACAGATAGGCTTTATAAGGCAGGTGACTCTTCATAGCTCTCATAACTTCTCTCACATCTGTGGAACTGAAGCTACAGCTTATAAGAAATCCTGGCCTATTTTTCTTCCTTCCTTTTTCTTCTGAAAGTTGGAGAGAAGGATAGCCATTTTTCATGACACTTTCTCACCACAGCAAATACTGTACTCAAGTCAGTCTTTTTTTCTCCTGGTTGGTTGTTTTGTTTGTTTTAAGGATCACATTAAAAGCGTAATTGTTTTCAGTTTGAGAAAATAATTTTTTTCATGATTTAAAATTAATTGCAACCAATTTGTAATAAATGTTTTCTTTTCCTCTACCTTCCTAAAATTCTGTGTAAATGAAACTCTTCTAAAAACTTAAGTGAAAGTAATGAACAGCAAATGAAGTAAATGACAAGCTCATGATGGTATAATGTATATTACATGAAATAATGAATTTAATATGGTATACTGTAAATTGATTGAACTGCATTCTACACTTCTAAATTGCAGTTAAGTAGCATCATAGGATCATATCGAGCCATATCCAGCATCTAAAGCTCTGAATGCCCCCTACTGTTCCTATTACATAAAATTGGAAAAAACCAGTAAAGAGTCAAACAGTTAAAGGACAATTATTTTGTGGGGGTTGTGGAATATAGACTGGCAACTACACAAAGAACATGGTTACAGCATAACAATTATGTAAGAAGAATTCTGTCACTGTTTAATACAGGATTCTTAATTGACAGGTATGTTGTATTTTTTAAATTACAAAATATGGTGAAATTACAAAAATATACGTGTTTAACTTCATTGATGAAGACTTAAAATTATGTAAATTATCAATTGAATTAATTTCAAATATGTAGTATGAGATCAAGACTTGTTATTAAATAATACCAGGTAAAACAGTCAAACTACTTACATGTTTATTTATATAAGGACATCTGGATAGCACAAAGATTTATTATGGCAATTCTCATCATAAATTAACATAACTGATAACAAATCCTAATCTATGAAAAATGGTTAATAAATAACAGCCACATACAGGTCAATAGGTAGTGGTTTTTTGCAGGAAAAAAAAGATGAGTGACATCAGGAATAAACATAAAGCTCAAAGTATGATTTTAGTATATATATATGTACGGAAAATGAATAGTGAAAAATTTACCAGAAAAAATGTGAATGGTTCTGAAATTTCTTGGTAATGTTCTCTCTTTTTCTTTATGCACATAGCATGTCTTTTATCTTAAATTGATGTATTCAGTGTACTGTAGAATTTACTGGTGCATCAAATTGTAATGGTCACAGAAACCACTCCCATTTCTTTAATATTGTTTGACACTTCTGAAATATGAAGGAGAAAAGTTCAAGATGCATTCATAATATGTAAATACCTAACATCTAACTTATTGACTGACTTCTTCAAAACATCAAAATGAAGCACAGACATTATGCGCTTCTCCCAGTGACACCTCAAGGACTTCCAGGAGTACAATTAATTTCCAAAATAGCCTGCAAAACCAATATTTTTCAAGTTCTGCATTTGATTTTACCCCTTCCCCTAAAATTAGAGACTACGTGGATGAATTTCGATTTCCCTTGCAACTCTTACTCTACTTTATTCAGAAGACAAAATATGCAGGAGCCATCTTTTTGATTTGAGCCAATTGCAGAAATAAATTGGAAGAAAAATTTTTTCGTCGTAGTCAACTAGATTACTGTTTTATACAATGTTTACATAAGTAAAGGTGAATTTCAATTGAAAGTCAGTAGATTTGATTTTGATTCCCACTGAGTACTTTGCAGGCAAACTTCCTTTATTTTTTCAGAATGATTAACTTATTGGTGGAACTTCTCAGGAAACTGTCTTCCTGATTTAATACATATGGTAAGACCATCCTGACATCATTCCTCTCTCTGTCTTGGATATATTGTTTCTTTTTTTTTCTCCTCTGTTTAATTATTTAGTCATTAAAGCCTTATTTTTGTATTTTTTCCCTCTCTAGTTGACTATTCTTGAGTATACTGAGTATACGGTTAGATGTTTTCAAAGTCTCCCATTGTTCTACCCTTCTTTAACTTTAACTGAAGTGCTTGTTTTGTAACTGAGAAAACAGCAAAAAGCTTTTCATAACAAATGTCTCATTTAGTTACTTGACATTGGGCTTATGTGACAAAGAAATGGCTCCATGATTTAGGAAGTCTTCCTTTTCAAGTTCATCATCAAAATGCATTGATAATAAAGAAGTTGAACATTCTTTGGGAAGGTCTGTTAAATCACTACTCGAGTCATTATTGGTTGTACAGTACTTGCATGGACTTTAGGAGCTTTAAAACTTGCTTGACAAAAATATCATACTACACAGCTATACAACAGAAGTCCTAAATTTACCCACAGTTTAATAGAGGCTTCACAAGGGCCTATATAATATTCATGATAGCCATTCATTCTCTTGATATGTCCTGTACTACTTCACTATCAGACTGCCAAGCTACAAAAGCTGTCTCTATAATGTATTTGCTAATCTGTCCTCTAATGAATAGACCTCAAGATCTGTTCTACATTTGGCAGTGGCATGCATTCTTAGTAGCTAAATTTGTAGTACAACCTGCAATACTGATGAGATGCAGTGCTGCAAAGGCACAATTCAGCCACACAAGCATGAGTTCTGGCTGCATGTGGAAGAGAATGGATTCAGAGAAGGACTACAAAATGTCAGGATCATGCCCACAAAGAGACCCATGTAACAAATAAGGAAGAAGAAAATTTAAAAAATATTAAAAGCTGAATCATAGAATGGTTTCCTTATTTCTGAAAGAGGTCCACTGGGCCATAAGAGTAGCCGCTTGGTTAAAATATTATTAATTGTGAATATTAGAGACTTCTGTTTTATATGTGTTTGCATAATGTTTTACTCTTTTTATCTTACATTTTGTATGTCTTCACTTGTTTTGATTTCTTAATTTTTTTGTTCTTAGAATCACTCATTCGTAGGGTCTATCTTGTAGTTTCTAACATGTAATGAAGCATCTGAAATTCCTTCAAGAATTCTAATCTTTTTCTTCAGCACTATGTATTATTTAGCGCTTGGATATCAGATTTGAAGCTCTAATTACAGAATGGTAACTTGCATTTACACATTTTATAGCAGATTAACTGCTCACTGCAGTGGCTGTTAACACATAAACTTTCTGTATTCCAGGAGCAGTTGTTTACACTTGGGACTGAAAATATAGGCAGTAGTACTAAATTATTAGTAATTTCTTCAAGAATATTTTTTCACATCTTTCATATATTGCTTCAAAATAGTGTGTTACTTTAGAAATATGAAGACAAACTACCTACCTACTACTACTACAAATCAATAGATTTACACCTGAGTTAGCTTTGACCGTACAAAAGACCTATCAGAACTAATAGCATTTGTGGGAGCAGGGAAATCACATCATTTCAGTTGTTAAAATAAATATCTTCATATGTTGGAGGTTTTTTTCAATTATTATTCTTACAGTATGTCTTCTTTAAAAAAATTTCTTAAGGAGGAAACTCATAAGGCTGACAGACATTCATGGCCATCTTTCCCTGAGGGGTGAGAAGACGAACATAGTTTCTTCCAGTCCAGGAAATACACATTAGAGCCTCCATTATCTTAGGGGTCTCTCTGGGAATGCTGAACCAATTGTGTCTCTCTAGTCTTTCCTAAATTTGAAGATGGCAGACTCTGTCAAAACCTACATAAAACCTCTCTCCTCCCTCCTCAGAAAAACCTCATGATTCCAAGGTGATTTATATAAGTAGTACTAAATTGTCAAAGCAGATAAATTTAGAGGGCAGTTAAACAAGTTTTAATTTACTCTTTGAAAGTTAAAAATCATTCTGTCTTTGATTAATTTACATTTTGAAGAGGGAAGGATGTTTTATTAGAGTTCTAATTAGGTAACACCTCTCAGCTCTGATGACACAATATATACAATGCCTGTTCTGACTGCATATATGTAGGTAATTTAATTATCATGTTTGCCCAGACTGGATTCTTCTGCTTTATTTCTCTGATACCTAGTACTTTATAATTTTGTATCAGTTGGTCATTAAGTGAAATATAGGTTTAATTTGGCAAATACAAACCATAGAAAAATGTTCAACAATGTATATTTGAAAATAGTAACATTTTGTTACCTCTGTGCACCATGCTGTTTTAAAATATACTTTTCTGTAAATATGCCCTTGCATGAAAATTCAGCTGGATATTCTTTATCTAGAGGGAGCAAATTTCAGTTGGCTACTCAGCAACAGTGATATCTATCACCACATTTTGAGAAAAGGACCATAGCAAATTTAATTTTTATGTCTCTTTAAACATTTAATCAGAATACTTTTAAGCTACAATATTGGATCATTGGCATAAGATTCCTAAGACTTTAAGTAATATCCATAAATTCTTGAAAAAAATTCAAACATGAGCAGATATTGGACAGATAGTTACAGTTGTAAGCATGTATTTTGCTATTCACCTCACAGAATATGAATATACTTATACATCTAATTTCTTTGTGTAACTATTTCCATTGGATATATAGAGTAACTGTAGGCAAAAATAACCATAATTGGCCATTTTATGTGCAGTTATCTGATTTTCATACTTAATTGTACACGAAGTTAGGCTGCGATTGCCTATTCCTCTATCTGTCCATGAAGTATTGAAAACCTAAAAATAGATTTTAATAAACTGTACCTGTGATTTGTGGGTATACCACTGTACATAAGAAAATTGCTTTACCTAGTCCTGTGTAAAGGATACATTAGAAGTCATTAGAGCACAAAAAGCTTATCACAGGTGGTTGATAGATCATTGCAACCATGTAGTATTGTGATGTCTTTTAATCTGAATTTATGGTCTACGTAATAAGGAAAGAGCACATGGTGGTCTGAATAATGCACAATGATTCAAATACTTACTATTCATCAAGCTATATCTGCCAATGGAAGCTTCTCACTTTCTACCTGGCTTTTCTCCAGCCTATGTCTTGCAGTTTAGAAGGAAACACATTCCGGTCTCTCGGATTTTGTGTGGTGGTGCAGACGCCAGAAGAGTTTAACTGCAACACTGTTTTACCTAAACGTATTTATCTGTCTCTTCTGTTTCCCAAGTTCATCTGAGTCACTTTAAATTACAAGAAGAGATGAAAATGACAGCAATGAAGTTAAAACCCCAAACCCAAGCATTAAGTTCTTGGTTATAGAGTTAGAAACACCGTAACCAAAAAGAAAAGTTTTTCCCCTTTCCATCTTTCTAGTTTGTACTGCGCAGGATGGATATTCTTTTGCTCGCTGGCTTATGAGTAAGAGTCCAAAGCCTCATTTCTCTAAATCTCTCACTGTTTTTGTCTTTCAAAAAGACAATTTTTTTTCCTGTTTTTAGTTCCCTGTCCTCTGAACTTTCTTCAGTTGTTTCCTTGAGAGATAGAACTATGGATTCAGATTTATCACTTCTCCTTTCTTTAGAATTACATTTCTACCTTTCTTTAGTATCTTTTCTGAATTTACATTAATTTTTTATTTCTTTATATGACACGTTAGCTTATTGGCTTTCTACTTTTACAACATTTCATAAACTGTCATAACATTTTATAAATCATGTATCAGAAGAGACATTCGGAGTACATACTTTTAAAATTTATAGAGTCTAACCTATTTTAAGGCTATATAGAGATTATATATAATATATTAATAATATAGATGGCATATAGAATCTGGAGAGCTGTATAAATTATTTCCTTCCTCTTTGCCTGAAGTTATTTGTCTCTTTGGGATTGCAAGTATACAGACAGAACTGGAAGAAAACAATTAAAGAAGGTACTGCTTAGCCTCAATATTTATTATTAAATTTATTGAATAGTGTTTTGGGAAAGACTTGGAGGGCATTGCTTTATAAAGGAAAAACCTATTCAGTCCACAGCATACACATACTCATGTACCCTAAAAACACACACATATATCTCTCCCTGGAGCGCTGAGAAGACTTAACTGCTTAAGTGAGGTGTTAAGTCTTTCTACAGTTGCTATTTTGTATTCTTCCAAACTTTAATTGTTGTCTCAATAGTAGCTTTTTATAGTGATACATGAAATTAACTTGTGCCTGATATATTTTCATTGCACAGTTTTTCTCCATAATTCACTTATCTAGTAACAAACTGCTATGGTACAAAACCAGCAAAAATGAGAAGAGAGACTTCAGTGTCAGAGCGTTTCTAAGAGAAGGACTCATATGATTTCAGGAATAGTTGAATCAAGGAGTGTTACAGATTTTGGTGTATCATGAGCCTACAAGGTTTTTGGGAGCACATTGTTAAAAATGGATTGGGAGCAATGTGGACACATAGGGACCTGGTCTTCTTGAGAGCCACAAAGCTGAAGTAATAATATATTATTAGTAAAATTTTAGTGGAGTAATTTTGAAGCATTTAACATACATTACCATACATTATATTAGAAACCCTGCTTCTGTAGTGATCTCATGGAAGCTGAACAGTTCTATTATATGATTAAACATGAATTTCTGAAGCTTTTATTTTGCTTTAACAGAACAATGAAAATGAAACAGCACTGCATTGTGCAGCTCAGTATGGTCATTCAGAAGTTGTTGCTGTTCTGTTGGAAGAGCTGACAGACCCTACAATAAGGAACAACAAACTGGAAACACCTCTGGATCTGGCAGCACTTTATGGACGTCTACGTGTTGTAAAAATGATCATTAAAGCATATCCAAACCTGATGAACTGTAATACAAGAAAACACACTCCTTTGCATCTTGCTGCACGTAATGGCCACAAAGCTGTCGTACAGGTGCTTCTGGAGGCTGGAATGGATGTCAGCTGCCAAGTTAGTGTGTAATTTCTTTCTTCTTCCTTTCCTACTTTCTTCCTTTCCTTCCTTTCCTTTATCATTAGAATATGATTCAAATGAAATAACTTCTTACTTTTTTCTTTAAAATAGACTTGCATTTACTTTGTTAGAAATGCTGCAAGGTGAAATACAATACAGATTTATTTTTTACATTGCAAATGATGTGTTCAAAGGGGTAACTCAAGAAAGATGCATGTCTTCAAAGCTGAGTGCATATATTTATATTGTCTTGAGACATGTAGATACACAAATCATATCAACTGTTCATGTAGGTGTATATAACTATATTTTCTACAACAGTGGCTGTAATGATACCAAACTGATTTGCCAAAGCTATGGCCTTTCATGGTCATAGCAATCTGAAACAGTGCTTGACTGAGAACTCCTTTTCCTAAGGTTATTAGGTTCCATGCTAAACCCAAAGTTACTAGGTAATAACCATTTTGATTTTCTGCATTTCTAACTTGTTGTCTAAATCTGAAAGAAAATTCTATAGCAATACACTCTTACAGCTACTGACTCCAAGCTGTTAGGTGCTTGGTGCATCTAGTTCTATGCACAATAAGTTATAATAATGTAAAAGGGGTAACTATAAATAAAATAGACATAGTTTGGAACAGCTACAAGGTACAGCAGCAGTAAATTTTATGTTCAGTTCTTTCTACTGGAAAGTGTCCAAGCCCTTTAACAAGAGAGGACTAGATTCTGTTATGTGTGACGTGTTGCTTCAATCTTATGATTTCACTTGATTTAATTGACGACACTATATTTCTGTTTAAAGTGTATTTTATCTTCAGATTTAAAGTAGCTTTCTTGGTGTGTATATATATATATCTATATACAAAAATATACTTTGAATTAAGGTTGTTTCAGGTTTATATCTATGTTCAGATAAACAAACAAACTAAACAATTACATCTAGTTTAGAGTCACATCCAGACATTCTCACCAGTTAATAAATCTTGGGAACTTTGCCTAAACTTTGACTAAATTTTATATCCACTTTAAGCTTTATGTGCATTTAATCAAACACCTTTGTACATAAAATTCCCTTTCATATAGAAAGATTGCACCTGGATTCCATGTATTTTCATTTCTGAATTCTTCCATCAAGGTGCTGTTTTTCAGCTTTTGAGAAAAAGAATGTGAAGTGGGGAAGAAAAAATAGTCTAAAAAAAAGAAAAAACAAAGAACAAAGCAAACCATAAAATATTAGCATATTTTAAGATTAAAAATGGATATTCTTAAGTGCCTTGCAGATGAGATGTGGTAAAATTGTTTTACAACTTTTATTCTCTCTAGTTTGTTTTGAGTTGGCGTTGTTGCTTGCTTCAAACTATTTTAAACTGAAACACTTTCCTGTGGTTTGCCTACTTGTGTATTTGCCTACCATTATACTTTCAATTTAATTTGATTTTGATTTTCTTTACTAGAAAGAGATACACTCGCAAAGGTTAATACAAGCAGCTTTTTTTTTTTATCTGACTTTTACTACATCTTCAGTAATTTAGAAAAGGTTAATGCTACAGAACTCTCAAATGCATGTTTCTGAATGTACAATTTCTATCTCTAGCAAATGAGGAAAAATTCAGAAAGTGATGCCTGAATTGATATTTAAAACAGAATAATTGAAGAAAAATAATCTCTGTCATGGCAACTTACAGACTGATGGTTGCATGAGGGCAAAATATTATGCAATGCTTTTATGAAATGTGTTCTTTCTCTTATGTAATCTAGATAATTTTAGCACTACTGTGAATTCTCCTAAGCCATTTTTATTTGTAGTTATACCAAAAGTTTTTCATTGGCCTTTAAAAAATACAGTGGCTGCAATTTTTTTTTACAATCTTCTTTTAAGAAATAACAGATTCTTTTAGTAATGGTGATATGTTTGGCATCTACACTAAAATTACAGGGCTTACTTGGTTTATTTATTTATTTTTATTCTAATTGCTTTTAAGGAATTTATGTTCTTGGGTTTTTTTCGTAGTTATTTAGAGGCAGGGCAGTTATTTTATTTTATTTTGTTTTATTTTTTGCACTCGGTTGTCTTGTTTCTTCTATGTTTGTCCTCCTTGCCATAAGGAAATATCACTTATTTATTTTCTCACTGGTGTACATATTCTCTATCAATATGTTCCTTTTCATTCAGCATCTTAGCATATTGACAATTTGGCTCTGTACATATTGTTGACTTATTACTTCTATAGCCTCTGAAAAATTCTGTTGATGATTACTGGCAGGTAATTAAACTGAGCAGAACATGCAATGAACCTGTTACTTAAAACTGAACTCGACTTTTGTTATTAATTAAATTGATCTGCATCACTTATTGGGAAAAAATAATATACAAAGTAACATCTTATGTGGTAAATAAAATTGTACACAGTTTATACACGTTAAATAAATTCAGTTTATCACCAGTAGAGAGCTCTCAGAATGTTGAGAGATGATTATAGAAGTAGCCTGTCTCCTATCACTCTGTAATTGTAAAGATATATTTATTTAAATGGGAAGTTTACTTTAGCCATGTTATCTTTCTCTTCTGTACTCCCTGAGCACTTTTAATATTAACAAATACTTGGGCTAATAAAAGACAGCATTTAATTTTTGAATAAATTAATCACACATTTTATTCACTTCCCAGGTCTATCCAATATCCTGCAATCTGAAATTATTTAGAATTGGGCAAATCTGCTTCATCTCTTTATGTTTTGAAGTTTTCATTTAAATTGAAACACTTGAAAAATACAGAGGTTTTGGGTGAGTGATAGATTTTGGGCCCTTAGTAAAATAAGGTACTGCACAGTTTCAGTCTGTTTCATGCAATAGTAGTTTAATAATTGTAAATACCTTAAAAACTGGTCCCCTTCTGCTTATCCAACTTTCATCTATCCCTATCTGCCTTCCCTGTCTGTTACAGTAAGGATGGCAATTTCCACTGTTTATCACTGTAGTTCTCTTGCAGAAAGCTGTGCCCCTTCTTCCTTTTTGATGTCACTATGTATGGAGGATATTCTGTGAATCAGTTTGCAAAGCCACCATTCTGTCTTTCAGGTTCTGTCTGAAATCAGTATCAAAACTATAGCAAACTGCCTATAAATAAGGACTAAACAAGTGGCCTTAATTAAAAGCTTTTGCATATTTGCATGATTAAAAAAAATTAATTTGTCATTACTGAAACCCTCAATGCTTCTATATGAGCAAATTATATGCAAAGTTGATTTATGTATCCTAGTGTTCCTGCTGACAATGTCCTTCTGTGCTTGCTTGCTTTGTGTGTCCAGCTGCGACATTGTACCTGTATTTGGCTGTAAGCTACTTGGGGCAGGTACTGTTTTGTTATACGCTTAGCACAATTTGTGCTCCAGTTCTCTGTAATTCATATACAGAAAACTTATGGCAGGTAATCAATATGTAAGCCATTGATGCAAACTCAAGCAGACTTTAGCTCAGTGTATTCATGGAAAAATGCCATCATTTTTTGTATTATCAACGGGAAAGAATTTCCAAATATAATGGTAGTGTTCACTTTGCCAGAAACATAAGATCCAAGCCAGTGAAAGCTTCAGGAAGTAAAGCAGTGAGTATTGTGCATAAATCTTAAGCTCGCTTGCTGTAGTATAGAAGAGTATGTTAGTGCACAAGTATGTCATTGTAAGTGAAAAAGACCTACCTAAAAGTTCTATCACATTTGAAATAATATATAGAAATTATTTGCAACTATATTTTTTAATCCTCATGATTTGTGTAATGCTCTGCTGCACAAGAAGAGAACATTCCAAACTACTTCTGCCTTCAAGTAGTAAGCCGCATGTACATTTACAAAGAGAGATATATCTACTCAGCCAGTCCTCAGAATTTCTCATGGCCCTGTTCATCCTGAGGCTCAGCATTTTCTCTATGTTAAAACGGAGTTTGGTAACTGAACTCTCTCTGGTAACAGGGACATTTCTGCCTTCTGGATAGTTTTTGGGTCAAGGGATCTGATTCAGTTGTTAGTTATTAACTATTACCGTGAAATCCTGCCTAGGGCTTTTAAGATTTATGTCAGCATTCATCTTTGTGACATCTTATACAGGATTACGCATCTGCATCTTAAAAGTATGCTTTCAATCTCCATATTCTCAGACTGATTTTAGTTCAATTTCATGGTAATATTTTCCCTCTTGTTCAGAGAATCACCTTTAGAGCATACAGATCATTGCACTGCTTATATGGTGTGCCTTTTGAATTCCTCTTTTGAGTAGACTGTTTGTAATATGTATCTCATTTCCGGGATATGACATTCATTAGCATTGTCTGAAAGCTCAGTTGTAAGGCATAGGCTGCCCCAGAATGCAAGGCAGTGCAGAATGCCTGTAAAGCATTTGAGGATTGTGTTCAGATATGACAGGAAATATCACGGTAGAATAGACCAAGAAGCAAGAAAGTATATAAGGAAAAAACCTGGCAGTTGGCTTTGGATTCCTCTCCCAACACTATGGATTACGTATGTAGAGGTGGCTTAAGGTTTTATACTCCTTTATGCATAGCAGAGCTTTTAGTTCATTGTTACAGAGCTGTCTTCTGGCTTTCAAGTTAGATTTGTTTGCCTTAGACATCTACAGGAAATTTCCTCTTCTCATGTTCGTTTTCATTCCATTTCTTTTGAGATATGTGCTTTCATCAAGGAAAATATTGCTTACCTTTCCTCCAGTGGGGAATTTTGATTTAGAAAGGACTGCTGCCAGTGACAATTATCATATCAGGATCTTTTCCACCCTTTAACTGAGTAGTCTAAGCATAGATCCTCTTCCTGATCCTCAAAGCTGTTGATTTAGCATTCCAGAACATTGATCTTTCTCACTCTCAGATCATGCTACAGCAATGGATTCTAGATAGCTGTTTTCATTAAAGTATGCCCACTTCTTCCATTAAAAAAGGTTCCTTATTAGTACAGAATGACCTCTGCAATTTTAGTCAAGGTGCAGCTGGTTTCCATCTCTGCAGTTCATCCTCACAGAACTAAAATTTAGTGCTAAGGCCTTCTGTAACAATTGAACCTCTGTGGATTTCATTGTTGGTGTATACATCGCTAATTATTATCCCTGGCAGAATCACAGAATGGTTGAGGTTGGAAGGGAACTCTGGAAGTCTTCTATGCCAACCCACCCTGTCCAAGCAGAATCCCATGGAATAAGTTGCCCAGGACCACGTCCAAGCAACTTTTGAGTAGAGGATTGAAACTCTACAGCCTTCCTGAACAACCTGTACCAGGTTCAGTCACCTGCATAGCAAAAGAAATGTTTCCTTGCGTTCAAACAGAACCTACTGTGTGTCAGTTTTTCCCCATTATCTATTCTGTCACTGGACGTGCCCAAGCCTGACTCCCTCCCTGCAGATATTTGTACACATTGATGAGGTCCTTCTATAAGCTTTCATTTGTCTAGGCTAAAAAGTCCCAACTTTCTAAACCTTTCCTCATAAAAGAGGTGTTCCAGTCTCTAAATCATTTTAGTGACTCTCTCTAGTAGCTCCGCATCTATCTTGTACTGGAGTGCCTGGAACTGGACAGAGTATTTCAGGTGTGGACTCAAGTGGTGAACAGGAGGGAAGGTCTCCTCCCTTGACCTGCTGTCAACACTCCTCCTTGATGACAGGGAACTCTACAGGTCCAACTAAAAGTCTTGAGGTTTATTTATACCCAGTAAGTGACTGTTCCAAAGGAAATGCCATATCACACACAGAGAATAATAGGCTGTGTCAAAGTATTTTTCGAGATTGCTGATGTCAAGCCTCTTTTTGTAATTGGAACTATTTAGTTCAATGACTTTTCTGAGAACTGTTGTTATTCTCATAAATCTCTGAGCTGCACTTAAGTCTCTGTGTGTACCTTTGTGGTTACACTGTCATTGCAGTTAGCTCATGTTGAAGTTGACTGCAGTAACTGGAAACATCCTGTAGATATTGTTTGAGTAAAGGATTCTGAAACTGTGTCTAAGTATATCTTAATATTTAGTCTTCTTGTTCAGAATAAGCCTGTAAATGTTCATCTGGACTGCTTCTGAAAATGGAAAGATTAGAAATTGTTTTGAGAGGTGTGTTTCATATGTTCATTCTCTACTGACTTCCTTCTCCTCTGTTATACTGTCACTAGACCTGATGCACGGGATGTAGATATCACTGGGCATCCTCTACTTGTTATGTCCATGTACTAAGTGTGAGGAAAGATAATAAGTGAGCCTTCCTATTATGGACCGAGGAAACACTTCTCAGGCTCAGTTGGTAGGGCATGTATACCCTTACAGTGTGCTCACACCTTATCTCAGGATCTCTGATTACTTCTGAATATCCTGTAGTTGCATTGCTGTAATTCTGATGCATTCCGACACAAGTAATTAATAATGAATCACTGTATTCTTTCAGAGTTGGAGTTTTTATGTGTGTGTATGTGTGTGTCTTTAAAGTCTTTCCACCACAGCAAGTATGACAAGGGTGCATTTGGATAAAATATAGAAAAAACAAATTCAAGGAGTAAAACCTTTAACATTTGCCCATAAATAAATCTCAAAATCAAATTTATTATCAAAAAAGGAGATAAACCAGATATTCAGTGAGATTTAGTAGTGCTTTAGCTAGTGCTAATGCTATTGTATGGAAAGATGTGTTGTTCAGAGTTTTCAGTTACAGTCAGCAGGATAAAATACTACAAAAAGTAACTTATTAAGAGAGGTATCTTGTTATTCAATACTGTAAATTTTATTTCAGCAAGAGTCTGCTCTTTTTTGGGTCAAAGAAACCTGCAAAATCAAGTTCACAGACATCTAAGGTAGAATTTAAATGTTATAAACATAGGCATCTAATGCTGTTGGAGATGCCTTAGGGTATGCAGAGCATCTGTATGAGGCAGATGTGAGGCAGATCAAATGTGAGCATCAACTGGATCATCAGCTGGGGGCCAGGTGGGATATCCTGGGGCATCTCTCACCCTGCAACTGATTTGACCTTCTAGGGTGTGATCAACTTTCACATCAAAACTTGTAATTGTAGATATCCACATGTAAACTGTCTGACTTTGCTGAGCAGCTGATATATTGATGATACTGATGGTATTGACTAGATTTTCACTGCCTGTTATAGGAGTCTAGAAATTTTACACAAATGCAGGCTTGTTAACTGGGAATTGTATTACATTCCTACTATATTTTCTTATATAGGTATTAATTTTATAGTAGAACTGACAACATTTATGTTGTTACCTTTAATAATAATAAAAAATGGTAGTATTTGTTCTTGCCCATTCAGTGTTTTCTATGTATAGATAAAATAGAGAGGAAAAAATAATGAAATACTTCTTTTCTTAATGTATTCTTTACAAAAAGATTCATTGGTATTTTAATTTGCATTTTAAATGTCACAATATTTCTTTTTCTAGACAGAAAAAGGGAGCGCACTACATGAAGCAGCCCTATTTGGAAAGGTGGAGGTAGTACGCATTTTGCTTGAAACAGGTAAATCTGATTTACAGGAAACACTGAAAAATACTCTTAATTTTCCTAATCTCTGTGTGCCTCATCAACTTTTGGTTATACAAATTACTTTGATCTTTATCAGCCTTTGCAAATCTAATCACATGTACTTCTCTTTAAAACGCAGTTCTTTTAGAATAAGAAATTGCTATATGCAGAGAACAAAGGGGATTGCACTAAGACTCATAAATTCCGTATATGACTCAGTGTATGCCACTGTATTCTGAGAATAAATGTATTCTGAGAACAAAATGGCTACATAAAATTTTGTTATTCACTCTGAAAGACAGCCAAGAATATTCTTTGATGTAGAGACCAGAATACTCATGTTCACATTTATTTCCTTCCGTTAGCTATTCCTAACAACCACACTATCCTGCTTGCTCCTTCATTTCCTGAATAAACTTTGAGTCCCTGTGAAGAAAGGGGGAGGCGCTGTGTCTCTGAGAATTGCATTTGTCCTGAAAGGACAGAAGAACAGGGATATAAAGCCCAAACAAACCCATCTACTACATAATAAGAGTTTCAGAATTTTTTTGCAGGTAAATCACTCATCTAGACAACCATCTTAAATAAATGAGATCAACAAAAATAAAAATATCTAGAAATAACTTCTCGCTGATACGTGAACTTTTGTTACGCTGAGGGATCTCATTAATCTTTCTTATCAGTGCTTGTGGGGTTATTTATATATTGCAGAAGAAAGTATGTCATAATCACAGCTCCTCATCTGAATCTCAACCTCATCTGAGAACTGTTTTCAGAAAAAAAAGTCCTTCCAAGTTGCTTTTCTGTTTGGATGAATGAGAAGGAGGCTGAAAGGGGTCTTCTCGTTTTTATTTCCTAAAAAAGGAAGGACTGGAGAACATCACAGAAACATAGGAAGCCCTTTAGACTACAGAAAAAGAGCACCTCTTATAGATTAATACATGTTACAGCCTCTGCCAGCATATAATTGTACAAGACAGGATAGTAGAATGTTCATGGTGAACTCCTTCAACCCCAAATGCTCTGCAATTCTGCAACACTCCCCACCTTCTTCCTTTTTTACCTCACAATGCCCTTTTCTCTAGTTCTGCTTCAAAAGGACTCAGATGATGTTTTAAGTAGCTATTGCGAAGGAAAGGTGTAAGTTGATGTCTGGCCTCTTACAATCAGCTGCCAGTGCTAAATTAGCCCAGCAATATTTTGGCTTTATTTTCAGTGAGAAAAAAAAAAAAATCTCTTTCTTACAAAACGAACTAGGAAACTATCCATTGGGTTAGGAAATTACTAGAACTGCAGCCTTTTCCAGTGAATGCTTTCAGAATGTGCTTATAAATCCTGCTTCCTCTGATCTTCTCTGTTCAGTGTCCTGAGAAGAATTTTGCTTTGTCAGGACTTTTCATGCCTTTACTTTTTATGAAAGTAGATCCAAACTGAAAACCAACTTGAGTCTTCTACCATACGGCAAACATTTCTGAGGTAACCCTACAAGGCAAAGGTAGAGAGTCATGCAGTATCACATACAACAGGTTCTGATTCAGGGCAGGCCTTAAACATAGTGGTTACATTCACAGTTTGAGCCAATTACTTTGTCAGCAGTCTGAGCAGTCAGTGAGGAAACGCTGTAGCTGTTCCCAATGCCCACATACTACACATGGGTATTTCACTCTATTCAGAGCATGAATTTCAAAAATGTTGCCGTGAAGTACAACTTTATTAACATAAAGTTAAAAACTTTTTCGTATTTGTCATGCTAAAAAGGGGCAGAAAAGAAGAATTTTCTGTCCAACCTGTCTTAATTTATTTTTGTCTATCAGTGTTCCTCCAGGAGATCAAAGCCTTTTAATGTCCAAAACAGTCTGTTAGTGTCTCATTAGGTGAGACCCTTTGCTTAACAGGTTGGCTGAGACAGACAGGACATTTGATACATTTTTTTATAGAGACTACACTTAATAGCGATAGGGAAACCCCTTAGCAAGTTTCTCCTGTGAGTTAATTCGCCGTCAACGAAACTATCAGCACCTAGAAACAGACTCACTCTAACAGTTCACAAAATAACACATTTATTAATACAAATTTGTGACAATTTATAGGGTTCATTTCGTCTGGAACAGGGTCTAACTGTAAAAACACATTTAAACCATGTAGTAATAATAATGAAGCAAAACATAAGCAAAAACTTTAAAGCAAAACAACTTACTAAGAGTACTATAAAGCAAAAGTAAGCTCTAGCTATTTATGAGCAATTGGCATGCCTAAGATATGTCTCACCTTCCAGGCATCACCAGAACTAAAGGGAGAAAGACCAGCTTGTCAGCCATCTCTGGCAGTGTTGATGGAACTTCTCCCCTATTTTTGCTTATGTCCTTTTTTCTCAGGCACTTTGAGTGGCTATAGTCAATAAACTGATTTTGGAGTGATAGACAAATGACACAGGCCCAAGGGGGGTTTTTGTGTGTTCCCATCTGGCAGGAGGTTTGCAAATGAAGGCCGTGCTATCTCCATATCACTCCTTTCTTTGTCTAGTCCTCTTATTAGTTTCTGGGAATGTCTCCCCAGGAGCTGGGGTCTTCCAGGAAACCATCAGGAGTTTTTTTTCTCCTTATCTATCACCTTACAGTATTGTTCCCAAAACACATATTTGTACTATCAACTAGAAAGTCCCAGTGAATTAAAGCAGTTTGGAGAGGAACATAGGACAAACATTCAGAGAATTTCTTGGGTCTATAAAATATTCTTTTCAGGATGCCTGTTTCTGAGAAACAGATTGTTAAAATAATTCCAAATTTGGTTTAAGAAGCTTACTTTATATCCCCATGAGTTACAGAAACATGAAACCCATCCATGTCAGCATGTGAATTTTAGGCTACTCAAGCTTTAAAGAGTCTGCTGTACTTCAGCTGTAATGCAGCTGTTAATCTGCTGCAGTTGTAAGAACACTTGCTTTCAATTTGCCAGATAGTTGAGTCTGATACACTACATTTCTAATCCAAAGCACTTGGGGTTAAAAATTCCACCACAGATCATTTTCTTTTTCAGGAATAGATACCAGCATAAAGGACAGTTTGGGTAGAACGGTTTTGGATATACTTAAAGAACATCCATCTCAGCAGTCACTTCAAATTGCAGCTCTACTTCAAGGTAAGTCATATTCAGTTATACATTTGTTAGAGATGAATCAGAATAGCATGGAGAAATATTAAGGCATATAGTAATTTCTAGTCTTTAAATACTTTGTTATAGAAAAGAACAGTCTTTTCAATTAAACATACAAAATTCTTGTTTGCTAGTTGAACAAAAATAAGCGGTTCAGTATCTGAAATTCAGAGTAAACCTTTTCTTTTTTGTGGACCATAGAAATTAGCATGGTGTGTCACTTAATAGTTACTCTTCATTACCCACTGTAATGTTTCACTTCATTTCTATTAAATTGTAATGATAACCTACAATTGAAATGCTTGATTCATTCATAAATAACAACTATATGACTGAAAGATGATGATATTTTTCCAAAACATTTCATTGTATTTTTCTCAATTTCCTTAATTATAAAAACCCAAAACTACAAAACAACAACAAAAAACCCAAAACAGACAAAAAACCCCCAAACAAAACAAAACAAATAAAAAACAAACCAGGCAGTATTGCTTGTTATTACAGCAGAAACAATGTTTTTTTTTTTCGTACATATCTTCATTGTCATTCCTCATCTTTCTTTCATGGTGTAAGACTCTTGGAAGTCCATTGTTTACTTCAGGTTTTTACTCTAGAAGATGGCAGTAAAGTGATGAAACATGAATTAGGGCATAACTCAGTGTTAAATATAATTTATTCTCCTCTATGAAATTTTTTTCCTGCATCTTCAGAATAGTCTTTCATTGACTGTGTTTGACAGAGGAGTTCCTGCAGGTATCACTGCTGCCTCTCCCTCTGTATTGATTATCCCACCTTTAAAGAAGCCATTTTAATCAGTTCAGTGGTGGTTCTACATATGAACAAGCTCATGCTTCAGTCTCCTGCATAACTATATTTTATAAGAGCATTTCCTAGAGAAAATGAGGTCATGTGGCCATGCTGCATCCTTTCTTTTCTGAATAGCTTCCAAACTTGTTGACTAGCTTCAGTAAAGTTTTCCTGTGAGATGATAGACTGAAGATACAAAGCTCTTAAAAGTATAATGAAAATTTTGCAGGATGGAGGACAGGTATTCCTATAAGAAGCAGATTCATGTTATAGCTGAACTGAATTAACAGCTTGCCTTGAGGTCTCCCTCCTTCCTATTTTCCTTTGCTGTTTCCCTCATTTCCCCCTTCCTCCTCCTCTACTTCCACCTACTCAGTTCCCTTACATATTCCCCACATACAGGAGATTTCACAGTGACCTGATACAGTTCATGAACCATTAAAATACAAAAATGTATTTATTGTATTAAATATATTTAATAGTGCATAAAATATTAAGAAATAATATTATAAATATACTTTTTGTTGTTTTAATGAATCTGCCTTCTATGTGATTCAGGTCCTAGAGTTAGCTCTGTCCCAGGTATCTGGCAGAATCAAAAAGTGGGCAGGAGGATATGCGTGAGGGATGTAGGGCTTCCCCCTGTCAGCAGAAGGGAGTTCCTAATTAGACTCAGACTCAAACTCAAGCTTCAACCTTTATGTCCTCACTCAGCTGCAGCATGAACATACCACTGTGTAGAGGAAAAGAGAGTTAATGTTATACTGAAACTTCTTCAGTGACAGGAAAAGGGTCAGTCAGAACTTCCACTTTCTTAGACATCCAAATCAATCATCCTTCAGATATTAATCTAGGTTTTATCATGAAGTTCCATCACCAACTAAACTAATTTTCATTTTAGTATCTCTTTATTGTTCCATTTTCTCCTTAGTGTGATAATCTTGCAGTCTCAACCCCACTGATGAACAGTTTCTTCAAAGTACGCTTGCTCTATGAATAATAAAACACCCAGACCCCTCTCAGGGGTTTCTCATGTTGATGGATCAGTACCTGCCCTCAGTTTTTAACCACACACACACACGCAAAAGAAATATATCAATTTCAAGGCTTTTTGATGCATTGACATAGAATCTTTTTCAAATGTGTGCCTTGAAAGTATAAAGATGACTGCTTAGTAGTTTCAGCTCATATTAGTGTGATGAAACTGTGCTTTTAATGAGCAGCTGTTTATTTTTGCTCTGTCTGCCTTATAGTCAGAAGTGAGGTACAAGGATGAAAAATGTTACAAAGATGTCATTCTGACTCTTAAGACAACCTGAGGAGCCCCTTCAGAACACCCTTAGAACCCACTTAGATTCTTTTTCATCAGCAAAATGTTCACTGAAGCTTTGTCCATCAAAGATAAAGTTTGAACTGTGAACTGAAGTTGAAAAATAAAATCAGTAGTGGTAGGATTCAGTACTAGCACTACTGATGATACAGTTGACCCTCCCTCCTCTAAAAAGCCAGCTGAGTATACTCTTCACTAAAGTGTGGGTATTTATCCTATTGTAGCTGAAAAGTCAGTGAAGCACTGGGATTTTGGCAATCCTGAATGTACTGTAATTGAGTTTTGATGATGGGTAATGAATTCCATGCAAAGAAAGGGCAGTTACAAAGAGAGATTCAGTGGCTTCCAAATACGTTCCCATTAAAGCTGCTGTCTTCAGATGATTGTCTAGTGAAGCTTATGTATCTCCTTCATGTAGACTTACAGGAAAAAGAAATTAAATTAATGGTGTCAGACAATTACTGGCCAGATTTTGTAAGTGTCTTGCTAATTTTGCTCTTTTTACAGACATAATATCATTGAATTTATTGTTTCACCTTGTTGCCAGGATAGAGTAAGACTTTTATCACCTAGCATTCTCATTAATTTTTACTGTTTACCCCTTGCACTGTTATGAGTGTTACTGCACAGTTTATAGCATTAACAGCATAATGTTTATCCCTGCCACAAAACATTAGCTTTCCACATAGGCTGAAAGATGCATATGAACAGGCTGGCAAAAATTACCGAGGAAATAATGTGTCTGGTATTACTAGCGGGCCTGATAGATTCTTCAGCCCTATATGCAGAGGGTTAACAGAGTTGTAAGGAAAGTTTAGAAAGAACATGGTTTTGAGGATATTTATGAGAAAGTTCTTTGAAGAAGATAAAGTAATTTATATGTTTAGAAGCAATTAATGGAAGCAGTAATGCAAAATTCATTGAGCTGATCCTGAAACCTTCAGGGCTGATAGCCAGCTGTGAATGAATGCCCTCACAGTATTTAAGAACTGTGGATATAAATTGTTCTCTCTTTTTAAAAGAATATTTAGAAAACTACTTTTTACAGGTTATGGGTTTAAAAGAAACAAAACCTTTTGCTAATGAGGTTTTAGAAATTATCCTAGTGTTTTTGTGATCTTTACTTTACATTTTTTCTCACTATCCTGAGGAAATAGCAATGGAAGTTCCTGTAAAAATATTTTTTTTTGTGTTTGCAAAGTCTGCCATCTTTTTTGAGATGTTGACGCATTATCTGATAGAAAGAAAATAAATTAAAAAATCACTTTAAAGAGCAACATGAAAAAGGCTGAGTAAGCTATATGCCACCTGAATGTTTTTTTTACTGCCTGTTAATTATAGATGGAATTAATAGAAATGACAGTTCAAGTTTTAATTCTAAACATGTCTTTCAAACATGTCACTTCATTTTCAGTGTCTTGCTCAGGTCTGAGTTGCATTGAACTCACTTAAAAACACTTATTAGAGTTTAGATTTTTAATTTGATAAGGAAGAAATAGCTGTATAGGCATTGTGTACTCAAAGAGCAGAGAATTAGGATACTGTGCCAAGTAAGGCCAGGCTACTGAATGCATTTCATGCGTGCAGTGAAACAACAGCATTCAGTGCTGAAGCAGTTAACAGTATTGGCACTTAGGACTTTATAATTAGGCATTGAAGATAAAAGGGATGTTGCCAAGGCTAGTAGGCCTAAAATTAAACCAACCAGCTGTGTTTTAGTTTTAGCACATGTGAACGTGACGCAGGTGCATGCTATACTGTCTTTCAACTCTTTCTCCACAGGCCACTATGCTTTCTATTAGAATCTTGCTCTTTTACTATTTCTGGAAGCAGAATTCTTGTTATTATGGAAAAAAAGAGGAGATAGTAGATAAACAGATGAAAAATGGCATGAGCCCCAGGAAGGCACAGTAAGCGTCGCTGCATAGACATTATGGAGGGAGATGCAATGGAAAGCTGTTTCCTCTCTTCTGCTGAAGCTGCTTAGAAACCTAACGTTGTTTGTACCTGTTACCGAATTATTCATAAACAGAAAATGTACAAGCAGCTGCAGAACCAGGACTCCTTTCTTCTGCTCTCTGCTTGAATAGCTTTGGTGTCATTAGCACTGGCTTTCTTTTGTGTATTCTCATTCGCTCTTTCTCTCTTGCTCTTTGGACAAGTAGATCTTCCATTCCCTTGAGTGCAGGAGGCCAGCCTCACTGGAAGGATGGAATAGGTTTTCAGTAAAGGATTTAATTACAGCTGTGTGGGATGAAAATAATTGAAATCTCAGCCCCCCTTCATTGTTTTTGGGTTTTTTTTAGTTATGTGTTTGTTTTTGGTTTGGGGTTTTTTTGTTTTGTTTTTTCTTTTTTTTCCTGAGGACTTCTCATCTCCTTTTATGGGCTATTGTGCAACAGCTGTAGAGTATTAACTATGCTTATGAATTAATTTAACTGCTGATGTTGTGGCGACTGACAGTTTAGCTGCACTCCGAATCATACTATCTGTGAATCATAGTGGTACTTCAGTGTTTGTTTCTGTTTGACTTCCCTGAACACATGCACAAAAACCAGCTACTGATTTCAGGTTTCTCTGGGATTAAATTAAACTTGAGTCATTCAGAATTGTCCTCTGAAATTTAGGAGGTTGAAGGCAACCAGCTTCCATCTCGGCTCAAGTCTGTTACCTTAGCACACCTGACAATAGTAGTTACCAATCAGTTTTCTGCTACTGCAGCTGCTGTAAAGAGAAGGGAAATTGGGTCATGAAGCCTCAGGTGGGCTCCTTCCCAGGGGACCAAGTGAGCTGTTTTGAGCAGAGATTCTTGACAGCTCCCAGGCTGGGACAGGACTCAGTGGAGCTGCAGGATCCTCAACCAGGTTCTGGAAGAGCCTTGGGGAGGGCAGAGGGTTTTCTGAAGATTGCTGCTCTTCATGAAGATGTGGAGTGATGGAGGAGTAAGGACGCCTCTGCAGGGCCATCGGCTGTGGAGGGGAGTGGTTTCTAAACAAGTTTTATTTCTCTGATCTAGTTACTTGGAGAGCCTTCTATTTGAAAAGGTGAGTGTTCAGATTTTTATTCTAATCAAATTTGGCCTTTTTTTGATTTCTTAAAGTTTTAAAAAGCCTTTTGCTCTCTTAGAGAAGATTGCTCTAGAAGGAACTCTGTGAATCCACCCATGGCATGGCTGACGTAGTGTTTGAAAACAAAAGGGAAAGGAGCTCATGCTTCATTTAAAGCAAAATAAAAAAAAAAAATTGGTTGTTTTTTTTTTCCATTAAAAATAAAAACTTCTCTGAGGTGAATGTAGCCATTACTCTAAAAGCCAGGGTTTGTAAATAAAACAAAAGTCTTAACCCTCTCACCTTAGAGAAATTGGGATCTAAGAGGTGCTGAAATTAAAGCAAGTTATGCTTTTACTGTCTCTGGACAATAGAGAGTGGCTCTCTTCATGGTGGAGAGGCAGCTGTGTTTCTCTGCTTACAAGGTAATTCTTTCCCTTCTGCTTGGCTTTGGCCTAACCAGTGTTACAGAAACTGAGAAAGCTGGAGTTCCAGCTGTTTGAACTTTCCAGAGCTTGTTACCTTCTTTGGTTATGTTCTTATTTCCAGTGTTCTTCACTGTTTTTATTTCCACTACTGTAAGGCCGCTTTTTTATGCTGTTACTTTTTGTGCACATGACCCTATTTAGGTTGATTGGGGCTATGTCAAAATCTAATCAAAAAGAATTCTACTAAGCAGGCAAAGTTTTTGAAATTCTTAGTGTTAATCCTCACTGAACTGTAATCTGCCGTTTGGGTAAACAGAAATAAAATAGTCCATTCTTCCCATTATGAATATGACAGGTTGTGTCCCAAACAGCCTTTACTCTCCTGTATTGTAGGAATGAGAGGCTTTTCTTTAAACTCTATGAGAACACAGCTGGGGAAACTGTTCTGGTCCTGTAGTGGTATAATTCACCAAGCTTGGCTTTGTTCTGAATTGTCTTTATTGCTTTGGGAAAAGTGATACAACCTGAGCAGTCTCTGAAGCACACAGCAGCCAGAGCAAACGATGGTAACAGAATCACCTTTTTTCAGTAAGTTTGGGCAGGCTTTGAAGATGAATTCCTAATCAGCTGCAGGTGAAAGCATCCAGTGCTCGTGTGTGCTTTGTCTTTGGCTCTTAATATAGATCAGCTGTTTTGTGTCTGTTTCCCTGCCAATATTGTGGGTAAGTATACATTTGCCAAGACTAAAAGCCTCTCACAACTGAGTCCCTGTCTTTGTCTCGTACATATCTGGTAGAATTTTCAATAGCATAAAACAAAGTTAGGAGTAGAAGTCCCACAGGTGTCCAAATTTTTAAGGGTTGCACTCTTACAAGGATGGCACGCTGCTGGCCTGTTGTAAACCTTACCTTACCCCACCACACCTAGTGTGAGACATTTGTGGAGGTTTTCTGGAAAGAACTCTGCATTTTTAAAAGTAAGTATTTAAGACTTATGCTGAACTTACGATTTCCTCCTCAGAACTAGCCTCCAGCAGGTAAGTGCATTGGTCTGGAAGTGGGGCCTGACAAAGAATAAAAATAGAGAATTATTTTAAACCCACAGTCTTGTATGATGACAGCAAGGTTAAAGTCCTTCACAATCTCTCATTCATTCCTCCTCCTAATAATAGCTGTATTGATCTAATAATTGTAACACTCGCACCTGATAGAATTTCATTTTAGGTTTGCTTTTGGACAGTTGCATAATTACCAAGCAAATATTTTCAGACACAAATTGAATTCCTTTTTTCTTTTTGTTTTCTTTGGGTCTGTTTTTTTTTTTTTTTTTTTTTTTTTTTTTATTTCTTCTCCATCTTGCCTATTAACTTGACAAATACTGTAGCTGACAGAGCTGGAAAACATTCCAGAGCATTTTGTCATGCTGCTAGTTTTCTCGTGGTCTCTTACAGCTCGTCTTTGCTTCTTTGCTTTCAGTATCACACAAAAAAATTGAAGTATGAAATTTTCATATGAAGAAATGTATGACATTATCCAGGGGACCATAGCCAACCATCAAACTTAATATATGGCACTTTCAAATCATACATTAAAAAAAACCCCAACCAACAACCTGCACAGCATTCTGAAACTGCATGCTGTTTTATGCCATTTCCAGTTTCAATTTCTTGGATGTCTATTTTATCACAGACTGTATTTGGGTTTTGGGATTTGTTATTTAATCAGGAGTAACAGCGAGCTAACAAATACATTGTTGACTGTAGAAATTAAATCAGGGAGATTTCAGTTCCCAGAAACTCCTTAGTCTTTCAGTGTGATATTGATGAGAGCAGTTGCTGTAGTTTGGTTTTGTGTGTGTTGCAACATGTGCTATTGTGGTTACTATCGGTATCAGAAAGAAATTGTTTAAGCAACTTCAGAAACCCAAGAAAATGCAGATGCAGAATAACTGCCAGAACTGAGAATCAGTCACTGTGCTGGAAAAAAAGTGCCACTATTGCATAAATAAATTTCTAATTATTAGGTCTTGGTTTTCCATTAGGTCTTGGTCATCCATTAAGGTAACCTCTGTACAAAAGCACGTGAAAATAATGTAGATATTTTTATGAAAAGAACAGTAATGAAACTGAAGTTCATATTTTCATGTTTTTCTGTTTGTATAAACATTATTGTGAATGAGGTGCAAGGGAAGTTTTAAGGGGGGAAAAAGCACACTACTTTTTGGCCTGCTAGTTTTAACTAAATTTTTGAATTTGCATTCTTTTTTTTTTCCTCATATATTATTTCTGTGATGCAAGCAGAATATTTGGGGTTTTAAATAGTATCAATGTTTGTACTTATTGTGAGCATCCTGAATACCTGAATATCTTGACTAAAAACTCTGCACAAGTTTAGAATAAAAACCTCTTTCAACAGTAATAATATAAAGGAACAATTGATATTTCAAGGAGACAGGAAAAAACCAGGAATAGTCTCAATTCATTACTCTTACAATGAGAATTCTGTAACAGTTTCAGCAGATTAGAGACCTGGCCTTTATAGTGTTTTGCAATACTTTCAGCAAATGATTGCCTTGCAGCAGTGTTTATGAATAATTACAAGGTTGTAATATGAAAAATTAGAAAGGCTTTAATGAAAAATGAAGTAGCAAATATTTTTAGATTGGAATAAACCCCCTTAATTCAGCCATTTAAGCATTTGTGTATCTTTAAATTGCAGAATATATGGAAACAGGAAATGCAAGTATTTCAGAGGAACGCCCACTGGAATGCGCAGAACGTCAGTCTTGCATTTTGTCCCCAGAAGTTCCTCCATCTCCAAAGGCTAAAAGTAAATACATGTACTCTGTGAATGCAAAAGCTGTACCAAACTTCTCTTTAGTATTAAAATTATATTACTAAAACATTGATACAGACATGAAAAATGAAAAAAATAAGAAAGTTACTGATATCAAGGAGCTTTTTTTCTAGCATCAGTTAGCTATCTTGACTACATACACTGTAATCCATGTCATATAGAAGAGCAAGGAGTTGTATTCTCAGAAAGGACAAGTCACTGATGAATGTGTTGCATTATTTGATCTTAAATCTTTTTAATTTATCTGACGTTACACATTTCATATTCAAGTAAAACAAAAATGCTAAATATATCAGAAGTACTCTGCAGGCATCGTTCACATTTAGGTTAAAAATGGAATTTACTTCATCTTTCCCAGTGAGTACATCTTCCAGTGGTGTTACATTTGGAAGCCTCTTTCAAAGATCACGTGTACTGTTCTTCCATTCATCTTCTCACACAGCTTTTGTACACTGTGGTGATCACTGTTGTCTGCACGTACTTTCATTTTATGTTCTGATTCACCACTTACACACACATCCACTAAAATAGGGCATTTTCTGAGTGTACTGTCATCCTGCTCTTTCATGAAAATCATCCTCTTGTAGAACCAAACCTGACTTCTGCCCTCAGTAATCATCCAGAGTGAATGTAATTGACTGCTGGCAAATAACTAAGCCTCTCTTTCTTTTTGTTGTGTGAGTTGTGGTGATGTTTTGTTGTTGTTCTTCTAGGTTCTTCTTATTTTTTTTTTTTTAAACATGTTTGCAGGGAGAGTTTTCATTCATGAGAAAGCCAAGCTTCCTGCTGTGTGTCACATTATGATCTTCATGATTCTTCATTCATGAGAAAACTAAGCTTCCTGCTGCATGTCAGATTATGGCCTTCATGGTGATAGTGAACAAATGCTATAGTTCCAATCATATTTCCCATTGGGGTACTTAACAGATATGTGGTATATGAAGATAAATAGTTCCTTTGAGATTAGTTCAACTGCCATATGCAATAGGAGTGTTTGTCCTGAAATAAAGTAGTAAATATTTTTAAAATATGTTTTACTTCTTAATGATAAGGTCATGATCTCACATTCTTTATAATCACTTTCAAATTATAAATAATGTAAAACGTGCTAGCTGGGTTTTGCTTTGTCTATTGTGTAATCTGATACTAAAGGAAAGAAATTGTACTTGATTGTGTTTCCCATCCATCTGCCTGCCATTCTCTTACAATCTAATTTCAAATAATTTAAACCAAATTTGGAAGTGGAATGGCAGTATCAATTACTTTCTGTGACTTTCATGAAAGTAGGTAGCTAGATAGAGGAGAGAGACCTTAATAAGTACCTACACTGAAAGAAATAGGCAAAATGTGTCTATTATGTGTTCATTCTGGCGGCAAACAGCCAGTCAGTTAGTGCACTCTCACTCACAGGTCAGTCCAGTTTTGTCACACGGAATTCATTCTTGCCCAGTGAGAAGTACTGCAGGCCATATGTAGGAAAACATGGGATTGGGAACATGAACATAATTCTGTAGGAAGCAGTAGTTCTGTTTCTGTATAGGGCACTGTATCATGATTTTAGAGTAGATTTTAATATTTAGGTATTTTACTTCCAATTTTTAGTTATTATAATATTGATCTGGATTAATTTCAATTTTCTAATTAAAAAACAGACTATAAATAAACTTGATTATATTTTTGCTGAATTTACTTGTTTTGTGCAAAGTTACCATTGAATAAGAGTAACGAGTTTTGAATGCAAAATTTCTGTTAATTAGATATTAAAAGGCAATTAAATGCTTTTAATTAACAACTGTTCTTGGCTCAGAAAATTTCAGTTATAACTGGCCATTGGTGTAATTTTAAAAATATTTTTTGAGTATTTTTGTTTACTAAGCATAGCAAACAGTAACTATGAAGAAAAACAAACAAACAAAAGCTCTAGACCAACCAGATACAGTCTCATCAGGGGATTCTTTAGTTATGTGGATATATTTGTCTGTTTTATGTATGCTGGGCTTAATATGCTCACTCTCTTTTTTCTTTTCAGCATTTTATTTCCAAAGATGGAGTAACATGGAACTATCTGTATTTTATCAAGTCTAAGCGCTGTAGTTTCCAATAGTATGACTGTTGGAAACTGAGTCAAGAGAAGGGGTTTCCTATTTGCTCCTGGAAAAACTTGGGTTTCGCTTGTATTTTCATTGCTTTTACTAAAGGTAGCTGTGTAACACACATGCAGTAGATAATCAGAACATAACACAGTTCATAATGAGTAGCTTTTTAGTCTGTGGAGGTCTTGCTGCTGACGGTGGACTATTTGCAGAATAGTTAGCACTCAGTGTGAGTCTAGTACTTACTACTACTACTGTTTCTAATAGTGGCCCTCAGTTAGTGTAGACATATAAAGCCCATTGCCTTACTGTTCTTTTAGATTTCCTAACTAAAGATTTTGGATAAATAAAGGAGAAACCGTGAAACACAATGCAGAATGCACTAAACATAGGTTTCTGGTAGGCTGCTGCAGGGAGGCATGTTTTAAGCGTGTGGGTTTGTCCAGTATATCCTTCCAAGATTCCATTTAATCCTAGGAAAATGAACAAGAATTGTTTATTCTTGCTTATTATTTATTAGCTACTTGGATGGGACAGATGTGCATTCTTAGAAACTGAGTTCCAACCTAGTCACCGTTTATGGAACCTATGTAGTGTATTGATTGATTACAGCAGCAAAGGTGAACCTGATGTAGAGTATGGGACGTTGATTTTCTATGTTTGTAGAAACTTTGGATTCCTGGATTGATTTTACATTCTTAGATAGTTGCTATTTCTAGACAATTTTCAGGATTAGAAAACAGAGAAAGGGTAAGTATATGTTGTAGTTCATTCTAATTAAATGCAAGGTATAGGGCAATGCAGAAGTATGTAGATTGCCTCTAGCAAATTCCAACTCTGGAGTGAGATGCCATTATTTTTGAGAGAAGAATTGTGCATGAAGATTATTGTCTAGAAGATAAGGCATGGAAATAACAGATAATAAATTTAAGGAATGTGTATTTCCGTTTTAGGCATTAATTACACCTGGTATTCTAATTACTGACTAATGGTGTGTCTGTTTTTAAAGGTGAAGCTGTGACTGGAGAATTATCAAAGCTCTTAGATGAAATCAAATTGTGCCAAGAAAAGGAATACTCTTTTGAAGATCTGTCTCATACAATATCAGACCATTATCTGGATAATTTTAGTAAAGTATCAGAGGAAGAACTTATGACCAGTGGAAGCCAAACCAAGCTTAATGTAGTAAGTAAGATTGGATACAAAGACAATATATTCAGTTACATCTGCTTTATTTATGATGCAGTCAAGAAAAAAATAGTGCAAGAGTGAGAATAGTACAAGGTTAACATTATAATAGAAAAAATAATATAGCATGTGCTTCTTACAGATTTAGACTGTAATGTTCCCCTTATTTTACAAAGATATTGCTTACCACACCTCAGAATGTGTTTTTATGACACCACTAGTATGACTAATCATTTGGGTTACTTGTTTCGAGCATGGGGAGGACATGGAAGGGTGTTTTTTGAAAAATAAATGGAAATCAGTATGCTCAATACTGTATTGAATACTAAATGTTTGCAGAATCTGATCAGATGTGCCCCCAAAAGAAGCAGCTTAGCATCTTCAGTTGTTATTCTTATATATTTTGTTACTATATAGGTTTCTCAGTAGTCTAATGATATTGAAGACTGAGTCTCTAATACTGAAAATTGTTGTGGTTGTGATACTTCAGTACTGGATTTTCAAATACAATGAATAAAGTGCTCTGGGATGCGTTTTTTTTCGTACTGTAATAAACCTTTTTTTTTTTTTAATTGAATTCTCTTCCTCAATAAGAAAATGGGATTGCCCAGGAAATAAAGGAAAGAACAGAGGAAGAATGCTAAGCATTAAATTTCAATTAGTGTTGTTTGTAAATTAAGAAAAATTATGCTCTCCTATATGAGGAAAACCATGGCAAGTTATGGACTTCATGTTCTGGAGCATTTATTACAGTATATGTAGAAAAAATGAGATGTACAGAGGTGGTTAGCTGCCCTGAGAGGCAGTAGATACTTTTGTAAAGCCCTTCCAGATGTTTGAATGTTTAGGTATGTAACTCATATTGAACTCAGTTTGAACAAGGTACTAATCCCATTTAAACATTTTAGACACTCTTATAGCGTCTCTCTGAATTTAGGTGCTAGCTGCTATTTAAATCTGCTCAGCTGCTGTTTTGCAGAAAATGTATTCCATATAAATCTGTCTACTCTGACTGAAATTTTTACAGACCTAAATGAAATACAATGTGAATAGAAAGTATTCAGACACTAAATCTGTAATTTATGTGCAGCAGGGATATACAAAGGTAAATTAGGCAATACTTTTTTTGAGATTTCATCTATTTTATATTGAACTAGATGTGAAAACAAATCTTCAAAATTGGGGACTGTTTAAAGCATTTTATGGGCTCTCCTCCTAATGCATCCAGCTTTTCTTTCTAAGAAAACTGTAATCAGGATGATGGGTGCATACTCCCAACATGAAGTCAGGATGGAGGGCAGAACATATTTTCCCTTAGAGTAAACCCAATTATACAGGCCTATATGGAGAGGACTCTTTGTTGTCATGTGGGATTTTCCTGTTTGTTCTAAAGCATCCATTTAATTTTTAAGTGTATTTTGGGTGACTCAGTCTGTTCAGTTGCCAGTTGGCTGCCTTGCATCAAAAAATGGAAGACACAATGTCTTTTAATTTTGGGGAAGTGCTGCCTTCCCTTGATGCTTAGGCTCCCTGTGTAGTGCAGGGGTAATACAAAAACCTACATGCACTGTAAGGAGCCATGAAAGAGTAATTGGGAAGAAGCACTAAGAGATATGTTTAGCTCTAAAAATGGTTGCAAAGGTGAATGCTGCCAAACTATTCAGGGGGCGGGACCAGCAAGCATGGTTGTGGAAGACATGTGACTGTATGGTGATAATACATAAATATTCATTTAGGTTTCTTCAATAAGAACATGAAGATACGAAGAGAAAGAAGTGGAGATGTATATAGATGTGGGGAGTCAGAAATAGATTTCTTGGATATATATTAAAGAAGAGAAAGATTCTTGCAGCTTATTCTGACTTTAGTTTTCTCCTCCATGGGAATCTTCTGTAAAAATCTCAGTAGGTAAAGTGGGTTTTTCTCTGATGTCTGCATTTGTCCAGCTTGCATTCGTTTCTGCTGCACATGCCAAGACCCTATGGGAGGGGCAGCACAGGAGTGTGGTAATACTGGAGCACAGACTCTTTTTGCCTGCAGGACCAATTGTTACCTTTCTCTGTTACCAGCTCCAACACAGGGCTGAGAACTGCACCTAGTGTGCCTCCATGAGCAAGCAGTTACTTCAGGTTCAAATCAGCAGTTTTCCCCCAACTTTCATTGCTGGCTGTGCCAGAATCTGCTCTGAAAAGGTGTAGAAATCAAGTCCCTGCTGATAATGTGTTAATAATGCCATGTCTTGATGTTGGTTCCAGAGATGATGACTGGTGCAGGCTTTTCACCTTCTTGTAGTCCAGTGGTCTGAAGAGGTTCCAAACCCCAAGCTATAACACTTCATGACCTCAGGGAGATTCTGCAAAGGAACTGGCTGCTAGGAGACATATGTATTTTTTGCATCATGCTGTTGTTCAGAGAAGTAGGAGGCCAAGACTGTGGAATTTTTGATCAGAATAGAAACTTGAGGAGTTGGAGCAATGAGCATCAGGAGCCAGCTCCTGAGCATAGCACGGGCTTGGGAAAGAGAAGGCAACAGGAAACAGAGTGTATTTTAAAGCATTTTTTTATAGCAATTGGCTCTTTTGAAAGGGTCAAAACCACCTGTGGTACTGCTCTGGCTAAATAAGATTTATGTCGGTTTAGGACTGCAGAAAGTGGTGTTTGTCTATCCACGATCCATCGCCTGGAATTCTCTCCTGAATCTCAAGAGCCAAACTCTTTTGTTTGAAAGAGCAGGGCTTACTGTTTTTGTTTAGTGTAAGGGTAGGGGGGATGCCTGCTTTTTAATGCAATAACTTGACAGTAAGAGGCTTCATCTGGAAGAGTAGCATTCAGTTCTTTCCATGGCATAAGAGTGAACTTTAACATTGGTTTTATAGTCTCCCAAATAAAATACTGATTATCAGGCTATGATCCCATCTAGTATTCTTTCTGAACTGTATAACCATTGGAAAAGTACCAGTGCAATCCAGAGAGCAGGACTTTGGATGCCTTATACACAGGCAAAGTCTTTACCTTTTCTGGTCTCAGGTGTCTTGCACTGTTTGTTGCTCAGTGATACGGCACTTGTAGAATACTACCTTTTCTTTTGAAGAAGCTGTGGTTGGAAGTTTTTAGGCCAAGGACAGAATTGAATCCATTCTTCTGTTTGCTGTGTTATCAGAAAATTAGTTATCCAACCACACAGCAAGTTGTTCTGGAATGATTGGAATAAGGGACTACTTTTCATCAAATTTACATCGAAAACATTACATGTTTTTATTACTTTATATGTTTCTATTGACCAGGTGTCTGATGTGTGACATAAGGCATTAAAACCTTAGAGATTCATGTGCTCACAGTATTTTAAAGTCAAATAGGAAGCAGAGTCTGCACAGCTCTGAGGTTAGGTGAAAAATTAAAAAAATTAAAACAACTTTGGGTTTAGTCTTCTGAGTTCCAAATTACTAGTCAGATCTGACTCCTAAGTTTCCTTAGGACATGGAAGAGCTGAATAGGAAAAGTGAAAGTCAGGATCTTATGAACTGGAAGGCGTGAACATCTGGGAGAGGGAGATTGCAATGGAGTGGTAAGTAAAAGTAAGGAGAGTAACAGGAGACGCCACAGTGAAGACATGAATAGAAACAGATCTGGAGATGAAAAAAAATCCCCACAGGACACTTCCATTCCAAAAATTGAAGGAAAACTGTGAAAACGTTGGGGTTATGGAAAAGATGATTGTGTTAGCTTCCTGAATGGGGAGAATGTTTAATGAAGAGAGGGAAAACTGTGAATGCTCGTTTGCTGAATAGCACAAAGTTAGATGAGAGTAAGTTAATGTTATCTTTTATTTGAAGAGTACGTTATAAAGAATAAACTAAAGGAAGTCAAGTTAAAGCTGCACTGGAAAATTATAATTTCAGTATTTTCTTTCTCAACTCTGGCTGTGTTTAAATGTACTTCTGATGTGCTGTCATAGAAAATATGAATTCCATGTTTACTAGTACATACCAGGCAACAACTCCCTGTTCATTGTCTCCGTGAAATTAAAGGTCAGATTGGACATAGTTTTGTGATTCTGCTTCAGAGAGAGCTCAAAAAGACCTACGTTCACCTAGGCATCATTTTAGTTGGAATTCCTAGTTTTTCTCAAAGATGTGCAGGTTGGGTGGGGTCTGACAGTGGCTTTACAGATTTTTACTCCCAATTCCTGTCTCTGTTTTTCCTATTTCGGTCATTGTGACTTGAATACACTCTTTAGTCCCCCTATGAATGCAAAGACATGGAAAGCCCTGACAGTTGCTGCTCAGGCAAGCTGGGAAAGCTTTATACTTTTGTATTGCTCAGTACTGACATGCTACAGTTGTTGTATGTTTACTAAATACAAATCTTCCGGAAAAAACTAGAAATTAATTGTTCAACAAGTCAGAAAAGGAGCTGTGCTTCAAAACACATTCCAGAAAACATGAGTGGGAAAAAGATACAGGAAAATCCTTGGTTTTATCACAGTTCAGTTAGCTAAGGTGTTTCCTTTTCAAGCTAAGTTAAGTATGATTGCTAGCAAAATCAGTTTTGACAATAAATTATAGCAGTTTTAGTTTTTTAAAAAAAGCTTAATTAAAAAAAATATTTATTTTCCAATAGATGGCAGTCTGGTTCAGTCGTTTCAAGAACAAAAGCAGCCATCTTATATAAAGGTTTTCCAACTTTTTTTCATTGCTGTGTAAAAATCATGTGTTTTAACACGGTTGATAGTACAAACTGCTTCAAAATGAACACCTATAATTTCTCTAGGAGAAAAAATTATGGAACATCATGACATCCATTTAAACTACAAACTAAAACATCAGGGCTAAATTTAGAGGTGTATCATAGCAAAGAGGTTACACAAGTGTGTATTCAAACAATCTCTGTGAATTGAACAGCAAGCAAGAAAATTTAAATAGGTATAACTTGCAAAGCAGGGATCCAGAAAAATTAAGTGTGTCAGAAAAAAGAACAGAAGAATGTCGAAGTGTATA